AAGTGTCTTAGGCACTATGCTACCTGAGCTCCTTTGGGTCTCATACTGATGGTTTTTTAAGTAAGGTACTGATCTTATGAGTAACATCCTTTATTTTGTGTGTCACCCTGCTATTTTGCTAAAGGGTAAACTTAGAGGATAAGCTTCTTTCTGGGTTTAAAGAGTGTCTCAGGGCAATGGTCTCAGGGAGTCCTCTGTTCTCTACTTTTCCAGTTTGTCTGCCTTTTTAAATTTTAATTTTATTTATAAATAAGAAGTGGGGTTCTGCTCTATAATTTTCTCCCATTCTATCTGGGATCAACTATTGTGACTCTGACTGGTATAGTCAGTGGTTGTAGCTGGGCACCATCGAGTTCTGGTCTTAGGGGAGATGAGGTTGTGACCCTTGTAGACTTGTTTCTTCATTGTGCTTTGGGTTCCCTTCTTGCTGTTTTGCTCCTGGTGAGATGAGATCCATAGATGTGTTTTTAGGTGACTGCTTACATGCTTTTAAGACCTCAAATACTATTTACTTCATGTGATTTTTGTGAACTATGTTATGCCAATTGATTGAGTTGTTCCGTGAGACTATGGTCCTAAGCTTTCAAATTCAGAAAACCAATGTTGGAAAATGTTTGGTTATGCCTGAGGAGTATCCACTTTGTGTTTTCAATGAATACTCTCACATATGTGTATTTACACATACATATAGATACTTCTTTCTGTTCTCAACTATGTATACATATATACCAATTTGCCCATAATCATCCATAAGCACTCAAACTCTCATTATTATGTTGTTTGTGTTGTGCTCACTACATCCACAATTGGTGACACTTTTTCTATCACCAAAATTAACTAGTTTCTACAGTACAAAGCTTACTTTCCCTACTCTCATCCCTTTCCTGCTAGCCACCAAAGAACATTGTTCTCTCTATATCTATTCTTATTTTCTTATAAAAGAGTGATCATACAGTATTTATCCTTATTTCATTGATTTATTTCACTTAGCCATTTTGCTCTCCATGTCCATCCATGTTATTATATATTTGGTGGACTCATTATTATTGTTCTTTATGGTTGTGTAGTATTCCATTATATGTATATACTGAAGTCTGCTTAGCAATTCATCTGTTGATAGATACTTCAGTTGTTTCCATTTATTTGCTATTGTGAACAAAGTAGCAAAGAATGTAAGTTTACATACATCTTGAGGTGTGGGGTGTCCTGGCCCTCAGGGAACCCTTCATGCCTCTGGGTCTCTAGGGTATATAGGTTAGGTCTTTAGGGTATATACCTGAAAGTGGGTTGCTGGATCATAGGGTAGTTCTATTTCTAGTGGGTTTTTTTTTTTTTTTTTTTTTTGAGAAAGTGCCATACTGTTTTTTGTAGTGGTTGTAGCATTTGTCTCACCTGCAATAAATAAGAGTTCCAACCTCCCTACATCCTTGACAATATTTATTGCTATCCGTTTTTTTTTTTTTTTTTTTTTATCTGTGTTCTTTTAGCTGTGGTAAGATGGCATCTCATTGTAGTTTTGATTTGCACCTCTCTAATGGCTAATGATTGTGAACATCATTTCATATGCTTGTTGGCTGCTTAGATGTCCTCTTTGGTGAAGGTTCCGTTCATGTCCTTTGCCCATTTTGCGGTTGGATTGTTTGTCTTTTTGTTGTTGAGCTGTTACAGTTTTCTATAGATTTTAGAGAATAGACCCTCCCTAGGTAAATACTTTCCAAAGTTTTTTTTTTTTTTTTTTTTCCCCAGTCTATAGGTTGTCTATTATGGGTACTTTGCTATTACTGTATTTTCAGAGGCAACCAATGCTATGGTCATATATTAAAAGTAAATTCTATTTTGATAGATAAGCATTCTCATAGTATCATTTATTATAAATAACATTTCATAGTCTTACTAACTTTTTAACCATGGAAAATGGTGACAACATGAAAAGTCTTAATTCTATTTTTTAAAAGTAAATTCTCAGAATGACAATGAATATAATTATTTTAATGTATTTTACCCATTAATTTAAACATACAGTCATCAGATTACTCTAGGGCTTCCAGTACTGGGCATTGGGAATAAAACAAAAGAATAAAAAATCCATCTTCTTGAGATTTGTGGTCCTAAGACATAATATTTATATTTTCTATAAGTATTAAATGAGTTTTGGAGAAACTTTTTTGTGTAACATCTTGCAAAGAATAATCACTCAATGATTTTTTTTTTTTTTTTAAGTCATTGAGAATGGTTTTCACAGCCTTATTTTATATTTTTAAAAGCTGCACTATACCTTGAGGTAGGGCCGGGGATTTTGTGTATTTTCTATAATATACAGTAGCTTTTTTTTTTAATTCTCTCTAAATCAAGGGAGATGTTTAATTATTTTAACCATTTTTTTTTTTTTTTTTTAATACACCTATTTCACCAGATTCACAAAACTCTTTAGGTGATAGACCACATTCATAATACCTTTAGTTAGGTATTCTTAAGTACTGAGAATATAAGAAATGAATGGCAATCACCCTGTCTAAGGAAATTCTAGAAGGGAAATAGAAAAAGGCTTTCATTACAGTGTAATAAATTCTACGGTAGAAGAAGGTGCAGAGTCCTATAAGAACTCAGAGATGGCATATCTAATGTGGCCTAGGGAGCAACATAAGGCAAGGCTTCTCTGGAGGAGATGTTACCATGACTACGCCACCACAGCTCCCTCAAAGATTAGTAGAATTTGTGAATTAAGAAGTAGGGTATTTCAGAATGTGAAAACAGGCTGTACAATTGATACCAACAGATAATCTGGTGTGGATACTGTAACTAAAAAATCTAGAACACCTAACATACGGGTCTCAAGGAGAGAAAAGGTCAAATATGAAACCAAAGAGACATTGATGACATCCTAAAGGATCTTAGATGCTAAACAACACAGTTTGGGTTTTGTCTTCAAGGCAAGTGAAAAGTGCTGAGGCACTTAACAGGCAGTTAAATGATCAGTTTGTATTTTACAAAATTTCTGTTGTTAATATATATACATATATATATATATATAATGGTTTGTTGACTTTTTGTTTTGTTTTGTTTTGTTTTTTCTCTTTCTACTGTTCCTCTGTGTGGTTTTGGAGTTCAAATCCATTTTGGGACTAGGGGCAATTTACGTGAGATATTTGAGCTTCAGTTTTCTCGTACAGCGGAGAAGGAGATACTAATATATGGGTACTCTCTAAACTTTTGCTATTATTATGTGCGTCAATACTCTCAGTTTGACTTTTTCTTCTTCATTGCTTTACTTCTCCCTGCTTCTTCCTGCTCATAACTTTCTGGTTACCATTAATTGATGTCCAACTCTCTTTCCTTCCTCCTGCCTCCCCCTGCACATAACTTTGTTTCTATTTCATCATTTGATTAATTTTTGACTTATTTCTTATTTGGTTTTGATCAATTATAGCAATAATTTGGACTTGTGAAACTTTTTTTGAACTTTACTTCTCCAATTCTTTCTAGAGTACTATGGCAATTTTGATCTCATAGGAAAAAACATAACTTACGAGGGGACATTTCAGATAAAGCTTCTATTCTACCCTGCTTTGAAAGCAATAAAATTTCAATTACTAAGACAGCAGTGAGAGAAGTGGATAATGTATATTTTATTTTATACTGCTATTCAGTAGGAATGTATTTTAAATATACACAGTTTTATATAAAAAATCACTTTTAAGAATTACAAGCACTCTTTGATTTTGTTGACTTACATAAGACCTTATAATAAATTAGCAGGGAGACAGAATAAAATAAAATGAAGTTACATTTTATATCAACTTCTGTAATCCTCAAAATCAAGAATTTAAACACAGTAAGTTCAACTATGTAAGTCTATTGAGATAGCTGATAATACGTATAATTTACTTGAAGCTCCATGAATAAGACTACAAATTTAAGGTGTTACTATTGTTTAATTAGCTCTGGAGTTTACACATTCTGATTTGGGAACAACAGATCCCAGGTTTTCCTCAAGTTTATCTCCATCTTATTCTCATCAGGACTAAGTCTAGTCTCTGCTTTTTCTTGTTGCTCTGTCTGCACGGATTAGCATTTCTCTTTCAATTGACTTTATGCTCTCCATATTTGGTTCCCGGCTCAGAATAATCCTAGGACCACTGTAAGCACTGCCTGTTTATCTGCACTGCATGTGCAGACATGCTGTGCCTCAAGCTTCTAGGCAACCACAAGACTGCTAGGAATGAGACAATACACCCATTGGCATCAACCATTCTAGGAGTGCTGTGGTCATCTGTTATTAAATCAGACATATTAGATACAGAGTGTTGGCAAAGTGAAAGTTACTACTCTTGTTTATAACAAGCAAACACTGAGCATTAAGAACAGATTCCCAAATGGTAAATTCTGTAAGTTACCTATGTTATTCTTATGCTGCTGAGCAGTTACAACCATGGTTCAAGTCAGATACTGTATTCATAATAGTGCTGCCTCTAGCAATCACATGTCTTGGAGATCCTCCATGCTTCTGAGGCTTCTGCTGTGTAACTGGGCCTCTCTGGCCTCTGCTACCAGCTCCCAACATGCTACTTGGACTTGTGATGCTCTCTTGCTACAATGCTACCTGGGCCTTTGCTGTCTGTTGCGGAAAGGGAAATAAGAAACTTCTACATTGGATGTACTCAGCCCTCTTCCTGCACAAGCAACATGAGGATAGTGAAGTAGAGTGGAATAAGAAAATGAAATGTCTAATGGAAATACATCCCAGAGTCTGCATCTTCTGTCTTACTCCTTTCCACTCCTACTAAAGAGAGTGGGTTTGAAGTGTGGTGCTTTATTAACCCCTGCCCAACTCTGGCATCACTTCACATAGTTTTACATTTTTTAATCTGAAATAAGAATCCAATATAATTTTTATCTTTGTTTTAGTATAATCTTCTATATATATTACCCAAATACGCCATTAATTTTGTATGTTTTTTATATTCACAATGTGAGCCCATCAGTCAATTTTTTTTCAGTAGGATAATGATAAGCAGAAGCAAGGAAAAATCACCATAGAAGAATTCAGAGCAATTTATCGAATTATTGCACACAGAGAAGAAGTTATGGAAATTTTCAACACGTATTCTCCAAACCGGAAAATTCTGTTTGAAAGAGATCTGGTTGAATTTCTAAGGCAAGAGCAGTATATAGTCGAGATGACTAAAACTATTGCCTATGAGATCATTCAAAAATATGAACCCATTGAAGAAGGTAAGCATTTCAAAGTTATCAGAATATTTATGTGCAAAGTATCATTTTTTTATTAATTAAGGTTATCAAATTTAATTTTTGGATGGGTCAAATTTCTTAAAAATAGCAAAACCTGGAGGTTTTATTTTTGTAGCTTACAAGTTGTATAAATACCTTTTAGAAAGCTACAGTGTTTAACCATGGTATTCTTTCTTATTATATTGTCCACCTCCTTTCTTTAACTGCTTCTGTTATCAAGTGTTGAGAAATGAGCTCAGATTTGAAAGCAAGATGAGAACTAGGTTACATGTACTGCAATAGAAAGAGGTGTCTTGATCACATGGAAAGGACTGAAGCCAAGTGATAGGCAATCTTCCATTTTTATGAATTATATTATTGAAAATATGTAGTTAAATTAAATGTACTAACCTAAAACAATTAATAGGAGAAAAAATGTTCTAAATTATTAATTTCTCCTGTTTATAGACATGACTGTACACAACATTTCATAAGCATTTATAAATTTTTGGTTTTCTTTCATTTGTGAACACTCCATTGCTTGCTTTAAATTTAAATGGCCATTTAGGTTCATATTCTGTCATATAATTTTTTACCTTTGTTTCTTCTTTCACTGAATAAAAGCAATAAAAGCACTTCAAATTTTCATTTTACTTATTTTTAAATAAGCAAATAACATGATAAATAAATAAAAGTCATAAAAACATAATACAATAAAATAGTCACATAATTGCACAAAAGACATTGCTAAGTCACAATGCTTAACATTACTGAAATTAACTGAAGGAATTACACAAAATATTTAATTGACAAACGAGCTATGAAAGTCTAAATTCTGTGTTCAAGAGTTGGTTTATTTAACCTATGATAATATGGATTCTAACAAAAACAAACTTATCCCTTCATTTAATCATGCATTTATAATTCATCCAAATATTTATTTGTTACACTCATGTATTATTTTAGGAGCTGAGGAATGAATATACTGAAGACAAGTAAGACCAGGTCTTATATTCTTGATGGGAGTTGGAGGAAGATTGACAATAAATAAACACACAAAAGGGTAATTTCAGATAGTGCTAAGTGTTGTGAAAAGAAAAAAAAGAAATAAAACAGAGAAAGTGATAGAGAGTAATCTAGGAGGTTTAGTTCAGTTGGGTGTATAAGAGTGTAACATTTTAGTTGAGGCCTAAATGACTTCAATGAGAGGCACGTCCAAGGTCAAGAGAAGAGAAGTGATGTCACTGATTTAAAAAATTTGAGGAACAGAAGAAGGAGGACAGTGTGGTTAGAACTTGGAAGATGAGGTGCTAATGAGTTTGGAGAGATAGCCAAGGACTACCATATACAATAGTGTGAGTATATTTAAGATTTTCGCTTTAATGACTGCAGTGTGGCAAATTACATGGTGTAGCTTTTCCATCCAGAGTCTTTGTGAACTCCGTGTCAGAATTTGCTGTGAGCAACTGAGTAGCTCCTGATTGTTAAAGTTATCCAGCTGGGGTATTTCTGTTAGAGCAGTAGGAAGCAATCTTCTGGGAAGTTCACTCTCTCTCAGGTGTGCAGGGCTCTGATGTTGGGAATAGTTGGTTTTGGCCACTCTGCTGGGCTCAAAAGGAGCCCTCCTAGAGGCAGAAGGAGTCTCTCTGACTGCCAACTGAGAAAGATGTGCTGCTGAGAGACATGAGACACACTGCTGAGAGAGAGAGATGTGCTCTGAGAGAGACTGAGAGAGACTGTCGGCTGAGAGACGGCTGGCTGAAAGAGACTGAGCATGTTCCTGAACTTGAAAGTCTGTTGCTTCCCTAATAAATCCCATAATATGTGAGTTCTGTGTGGCCACTGCAGCAAATTATCAAACCCAGCAGAGAGGTGGTGGGTGCTGTGGCAGGAACGATTGGTGTCAAGGTTGGTAAAGGGTACTGGAGGGTGGCTGCATGTCTGGCCTCATAAGAACAGGCCTTAGGCTGCTGATGGTGATTCTGTCTTCCTCTTGTATAGTTAGAGGAGATCAGAAGATACCACCTCCTTGCCCTTTTTGGAATGACTAAATGCTTGTGTAAAGACTAGTGAGGATTTAAACATTGTAGCAATAGATTGAGTGATACTCCAAGTTTGGTCTGAGTACTATTAAACCTTGTGAGGTTTTCAATAAGTTAAAAAGCTTGCACCAGAATATAAAATAACTTGTGTCACTAAGCACAGTGGATGAGTTGAGCTGACATCTTTTTCTCTCTTTTTCCATAGCAAGACTTTCTTTACGGAAATAGTGAATTGATTTCTGTTTTGGCTCAAGCTCTGTATCTTATTGCAGACTAGGGAAAAAAAGAAAAACACGTTATAGACAAATGCTTTAACTGTTGTTGCTGTTATGTGCCGTTGAGTTGGACCCGACTCATAGAGACCCCTCCTTGGGTTTCCAAGGCGGTATCACTACAGAAGTAAATTGCCCAACCTTCCTTCTGAGGAGTGGCTGGTGGGTTTGAACCACCAGCCTTCTGGTTAGCAGTCAAGTGCCTTAGGCACTACACTACCAGAGCTCCTGTCAAATGACTATTAAAAAATATTAATAAAAAACAAGTTAAAAACTGAAGGTACTGGTCTAGAAAATATATGTAAATATAGTTGAATATAAAAAAAATAATAATAAACATACCTTGATACTGTTACCTGTACGTGGTAAATTAAATGGTACAAAGGGTTAATGGGATCATGGCAGTGGTATCTTGGAGTTATGTTTGCATTTCAACTACAACATTTCACCATCCATGCATTTCCTCTTTTGAGCTTTTACCTGCCTCTCTGACCCTCATACATGACCAAAGCCTTACATTTTATTTTCATGATTATTGATTTATTTTAGAGTTTTATTAAGGTCAAATTGAATTATGATCTTAGAGTCCCAAATGCTGGTATGCTGCTCAATCTCAACTCACACTGGTATTTTTGATTTGTACCAAATCAGGTTTTTAAAAATCCATTACTTAATGAGATTAATCCTCATCTCAATTTCGTAGTTTCTAAGCATACAAAATGAGTTTGTTTTCTATTCCATCATCAATGTTATTTGCTTAATTATTTAATAGCTTAAAAAGCTAACCACTACTAATTGCACAGGGACAAAGTTTAAACTCACACACATCATTACTGTTATAATTCATGATGCATTTGTTCCATACAGTTCCATATTTTTAAATTTGCATGGTTTTGAAATAGAGCATTTGCATGTCTATAAACATTTTATGTATTTACTTTTAACTTTTATATTTTAAATCAAAACAGCCTTTTGAATGCTGACTTTTTCACTTTTATGATATCATAAAAATTTACTTATGTTTTTGATTTTCAATGCATGGTATTGCTTCATATTTTTAGCTTCAATTATTTTCCTTCCTCCCATTTATTTTGCTTTTACAATAATGCTACTGTGAGGATTCTTTCATATCAATCTTTGTATGAGTCTCTACTTTCATAGGATAAATTCCTTGAAGTAAACTTCCTTGCCTAGAATCACTCTCTAATCTAAAGGCAATAGGCACATCAGATTTCTTTTGTACTAACTGAATTATCGTCATCAGCAACAACAGGAACTGATATTTATATAGTGCTTATAATGCTAATTGTTTGTCACGGATAGTCTGATTCAATCCTCACAACACAGGGGTAGGTGCTATTATTATTCCCATTCCATAGATGACGACAGGTTAACTAACATGCTCAAGGTTAGATAACTGAACACTCACTCATCATTTATTGACATGATTAGATTCCAAAGACCAAGTATTATCTGAAAATTGGCATTATGTAAAAATGGTCAATGACCAATCAGGTCACAAAATTGAGGATGACTACATCATTATATAACTGCCAAATTATGTCATTGCATAACTGACAAACTACTGAGAACCATAGCCTAGCCAAGTTGACATATAACCATAATCTTCACAGCCAGGGCTACTCTGACCTCACACCTGGACCTTCGTTAATGCCAGATATACATAATTAATGTGCTAAATAGTCAGATAGTAGATTTTTTACTATTATTGTAAGTCTGAAATGTTGGATAATGAGATAGTTGATAAGTGAGGGCTAGGTGTAACTGGATTTGAATCCTGGCTGATGTCAGAGCCAATTTTCTGCTTAAATCTATAACTTTGGTATATTTTGTGGGACTTCATCAATCTATGATATGTATAGTATTTTTTGGTGAATTTTTTAGGTCATGAGGAAGTCAGAGAAAATTGACTATTCTGTACTTCAATATTAATATGAAAACTAATAGTATTCACTAGGAAAATTTGTTCCTAAAGAAATATTAGAAATAGTAGTATTACCAATTTTAAACAAATATCTTAGTATATTCTATCAGTGAATAAATTTATAAATGAGATGCAATTTTTATACTACTAATGGCACTTCTGCATCCTTTTTCCCTTTTTTTTTTAATATAGTTAAGAAACACCGCCAGATGTCAGTTGAAGGTTTTACAAGATACATGGATTCATCTGAATGTTTAGTGTTTAAAAATGAGTGTAAACGTGTTTATCAAAATATGAATCATCCATTATGTGATTATTTTATCTCAAGTTCACATAACACATACTTGATATCTGATCAATTAATGGGACGGAGTGACCTTTGGGGATATATAAGGTATTTATTTTGATTTTTAAATGTATTACTTTCATTAAAAATCATTTTATTGTGGTTCGGGTGAAAATTTACAAAGTAAACTAGCTTTCATTCAACAATTTATACATAGATTGTTTTGGAACATTGGTTGCAATCCCCTTAGTGTGTCAGCACTCTCCCCACTCCCACTCTGTGTTCCCTCTTTCCATTCCTCCAGCTTTCCTGTCCTTCCTGCCTTCTGAATTTTGCCTTTGGGCAAATGCTGCCTTTTTGGTCTGTTATAGTTGAATGTCCTGAGAAGCATATTCCTTATGTCTGTTATTGTCACTTTATAAGCCTGCTTATTTTGGGGCTGTAAGATGATCTCTGGGAGTGGTTTCAGTTCTAAGTTTGAAGTGTGTCTAAGGACCATAGACAGTATCAGACCAGTGAGGCTGGTCTTTTTTTTTTTTTTTTTTTTTAATGAATTTGAACTTTATTCTGTATTTTTCTCTCACTCTGTTCATGGCCTTCTATTGTGATCCTGCTCACAGAGGTCAATAGTGATAGCTCACCATCTAGTTATTCTGGTCACAGGCTTGTGGAGACTGTGGCTCATATGGTCCATTAGTCCTTTAGACTAATTGTTTCCTTGAGTCTTTGGTTTTCTTCACTCTTTTTTTCTTTGAACAAGAAGAAACTGATAATTGTATCTTACATGGCTGCTCACAACCTTAGTTGCAACTTGACAAAGTATGATGTAGAACATTGTCTTTATGGACTATGGTTTACAAATTGACATACATGTCCCCTGAGACTGGTCCCTAGGCCTCATTCCCAGTAACTGAGTCCTGTGAGGTATTTAGTTCTGGTTAAGAACTTTTTCTGACTGTGCCTCATGTGTGTTCTATTACATACATGGATATATTTGCAATACATAGAAATATACATGTCTTTGTGGACTGTTATGACTTCAGTGTCCCCCGAGACTATGGTCCAGAGTCAAGGCTACAATCTTTGTGAAAGCAGACTGCCTCATATTTCTCTCACAGAACAGCTAGTGTGTTCCAACTGCTGACAGTTTGGTTAGCAGTTAAGCACTTAACCACCACACCTATGAGTTAATGTGAACAGACAGATAAGTAGATAAACAAAGAAATATTTTTATGACTGATAATGCATATGGATAAAAGAAATGAGGGTAATATGGTAGAAAGTGATGTGTGTGATTTTGGTAAAAGTATTAGAAAAAGCTTCTCTTAAGATGGTGTGACGTAGTTGTAACCTGAGTGAGAATAAGTAGGAAAGCTTAGATAGATCTCAAAGAAAGGAAATGTTAAGCAGAAAAAATAACAAGTGCTTGGCATGTTCAAGTGACAAGAAAGTAAATGTATTTAGAAACAAATAAATGGAGAGTGAAGGGGAGTTTGAGGAGTTAAACAGGGTCAGCTTATGAGAGTTTGTTTCATAGTTCTAATCTACCCAAGATGCACCTCTGAAGAAAGGCCTGATGATTTACTTAGAATATTATTATTATTATTTTAATTCTTTACTGTGGGGGAAAGACTGTTGGGACAATAGTGGAGGTAGAAGAGGATTTGTAGTAGTCCAGGTGATAATAGCAAATTAAACCTATGAGGCAGCAGTTGAGATAATAAGTGGTTGAATTTGGGATACTTTGAAGAGATAGAACCAATAAGAATAAGTTAATTTGAAAGGCAGTGTGAGGGAAAGATTTTTAGCCTGAGTACCTGATGTACAAGGAACCCTCTTATTGAATGTTAATTATGGTGTTAATGAAGAATATTGAATATACCATTCACTGCCAGAAGAGCAAACAAATCTGTCTTGGATGCAATACAGCTGGAATGCTCTTGAGAGGAGAGGATAGTAAGACTTTGCCTCGCCTGTTTTGGTCATGTTGTCAGGAGAGACCAGTCCCTGGAGAAAGATAAGATGCTTGGTAAAGTGGATGATCAGTGAAAAAAAAGGAAGACCCTCAAGAAGATGTATTGGCACAGTGGCTGCAACAATGGGCTTAAGCATAGCAACAGTTGTGAGAATGGTGCAGGACTGAGCATTGTTTCATTCTGTTGTACAGAGGGCCACTATGAGTCAGAACTGAGTCAGAAGCCACTTGGTGGCACCTAACAACAACAGCAACAAAGAGCCCTGGTGTCACAACAGTTCAACATCCAGCTGCTAACTAAAAGGTTGAAGGTTTGAACCCATCAATGGCTTTGTAGGAGAAAAGGTCTAGGAATCTACTTCCATAAAGATTTCCATCTAGGAAACCTTATGGGGTAGTTCTACTCTGCTGTATAGGGTAGTTGTGAGTCAGAATAGACTCAATGGCACACAACGTCACCTGCCTAATATACAATAACCGTTGACTGAGATGGTGAAACATGAGCAAAGAGCCCATTGCAGTGTGTGAGGCAAAAGCAAGATTTCTGTGCTTCTCGTGTCAAGTATGAGATACCAATTAATTATAACAAGGTCAATTAGTTATCAAAGGGCAAATAGTCACTTGGGTGTCTGAGAAGACTGGAAAAATAGAACTGGAAGTTATCAGCATATATGTGATATTTAAAGTCTTGTGATTGGATGATTATACTTAAGGAAACACTATAGATAGAAAAGATAATCCCATGATAGTAATAAACATGCAAATAACTATTGTTTTTTCTCCTGTTTAAATTTTAACTAAATACATAAATCCACAAGCTCAGAAAGTTATCCATTTATAATTTTATAAAGATAGCACAATTTATAGTAATAATTTAATTGTACAAATTTCCATTCATACTTCATTATTTAATTTTTTAAAATAGAGAAAATATAAATTTACAACAGATTTATTTAGAACTACAGAAAAATTAATTCTAAATTCCAAGGAAATGCTTTGCTGAACTGTAAATTTCAATTTCAATTTAATTATATTTCTTTTGTTTCTGTAATTCATCTGAGGAAGAAATAACATAAATCTTACAAAATTTTTCTGCTCATAACAGGTGGTCTAATATAATTTTAGGCATTTGGTCTTTGGCACTTATCCTCCTCCTTTTCCCTCACTTATTGATTATGTGACAGATATAACCTCTTTGTGTCTCAATTTTCTTATTTATAAAAAAGAAGCTTAATATCACTTGCTATATACATAAAATTAATTTTAATCCATGAAAAGACCCTCAAAATGATTGATAGTTAAAATTTATCTTCAATCAGAAAAAAAATATAACATATACAATTTAAAGATACTTAATATTAATAAAAATGTTAACATTTAATACTTTGATAAGGAGCTCTGGTGGCGTACTGGACAAGGCATTTGGCTGCTAACCCCAAAGTTGGTTGTTCAAACACACTTGCCACTCCATGGAAGGAAAATGAGGCAATCTACATCTGTAAAGATTTATTGCCTTGGGAACCCAATGAGGGTCACTATGAGTTGGATTCGACTCGATGCAGTTGGTGTTTAGTAACAATAAATAGGTGATATAAAGTTAATAGTAAAATTCAACACAGCAAAACTCTGCACAATTTCTAGAACAGAGACAGAATTTTACCCTTAAACTTTCCGGCTGCCAAGTCAGGAAAGAAAAAGGATTACTTATAAGATTTACAGTGATCATATAAAACAAAACAGTTCTTCAGAAGTAGAGTGTTTCTTAACTGAGTGAGAACTTTCCTCTATTCGATGTTAAATAATGAGTGGTCTCAACACCACCACCAATGTAGGCTCACTGTATTTTACTCCACTCTGGATATAAGTGATTTGCATAACAACAGTGCAATCCACTTAAATACTTTTGGTAAGGATTAAAGCATGTATTGTCTGAATATGCACTTTGTAAAGTTTGTAAAGATTGCCTTGATCTTTTAAGGATAAATTAAGCTATCTATAGAAGTAGCAACTACCACTTATCTGTCAGTTTGTCATACTGTGGTGGCTTATGTGTTGCCGTGAGGCTGGTGGATATGCCACTCATATTTCAAATACCATCAATATTACCCATGGTGGACAGGTTTCAGCAGAGCTCCCACACTAAGACAGACTTGAAAGAAGGAAGGATCCACTTCTCAAAGAATTGGCCAGTGAAAACCTTATGAATAGCAGTGAAACAGTGTCTGATATATTACTGGGAAACTTTATGAATAGCCCTGAAACACTGTCTGATATAGTGCTGGAAGATGAGCCCCTCAGGTTGGAAGACACTCAAAATATGACTGAGAAAAAGCTGCTTCATCAGAGCAGAGCCAACCTTAATAAAGCAGATGGAGTAAAGCTTTTGGGACTTCCATTTGCTGATGTGACATGACTTAACACGAGAAGACACAGCTGTATATATCCATTAATAATGGCAATATGGAACATACAAAATATGAATCTAGGAAAATTGGAAGTTGTCAAAAATGAAATGGAACACATAAAGATCAATATCCCAGATATTAGTGAGCTAAAATGGACTGGTTTTGGCTATTTTTAATCAGATAACCATATGATCGACGATGCTGGGAATGAAAAATTGAAGAGAAATGGCATGACATTCATTGTCACAAAGAATGTTTTAAGATCTATCCTGAAGTACAATGCTGTCAGTGATTTCAAAATATCCATATGCCTACAAGGAAGACCAGTTAATATTACTATTATTCAAATTTTTGCACCAACAACCAAAGCCAAAGATGAGGAAATTGAATGTTTTTGCCAACTTCCAGAGTCTGAAGTTGACCAAACATGCAATCAAGATGTGTTGATTATTACTGATGATTAGAATGCAGAAGTTGGAAATAAAGAAGAATCACCAGTAGTTGGAAAATATGGCCTAGCCTTGGTGATACAAATAATGCTAGAGATTGCATGATAGAATTTTGCAAGACCAATGACTGATTCATTGAAAATACCTTTGTTCAACAAAAGATGGCTATGCACATGGACTTCACCAGATGGAGTACACAGAATCAGAAGAGTACATCTGTGGTAAGAGGTGATGGAGAAGCTCAATATCTTCAGCAAAACAAGGCCAGGGGCTGATTGT